TTGAGTTTCCTATGGCCAGTTTGACGATTCACCACCCTGTATTTGTGCACTGTTATGAAGGTGTCCTATTGAATTTACCTTTCTGTAATGGTTTTCTGTTATTGTAATAGTTTTCTAAGTCTTAATTTATTTTCAAGTGTCTGTACTGTTCTTGTGTACGAACATTGTTCATACAGTAGTAATAAACACAGTCCCATGCATGTTTCTTAATAAATAAATTAAATTAAAAACTATCGCTCCGTACATAGATGATAAGAAAGCTAAGCTTTCCCACCTTGTTCATTCCCGTTTTTTTATTGTAAGTTTTTCTAGACATATTGATTATCTATTTGATTACCATTTTTCTCTAGTCTCTCTACTTGTATTCTTATTCAAAATTTTCATTTCAGGTATGAATTTACCCCTACCGAACAGGAAAAAACCAATGTGATGAAACGCTTCAGAGACAATTTGGTAGTTCCGAGGATATTTTCTAAAACGGCCATCGCATATAGTCCAAATTCAAAGAAAAATGATGTCAAACAGCCAGAGCCTATTCTCAACCCCCAAACAGTAACACTGTGTGAAATTCTCGCAATAGATGATCCATTAACTCTTATTTCAAAGATGGAAGGGACTCTGGAACACTTGAATTCAAGCTTGGACTTGAATAGCACCATCAGTTTTATTGATGACAGTCAAGAGAATGAGTCTCTCAACTCTTCACAAGATACACCCACCAAGAAAATGTTTAACCTTACACTTCCTGATCCCAAAGTAGATCTGGATGACGATTTAGAAGATATTGAGGAAGCTAATGAAGACATCAAGAATGACAGTCAAGAAGTGGCAGCAACAGAGGTCAAGACTGAGTCAGAAGATGCAAAAATCAAGACCTTAGTGGAACATATGCTACCAAGTGAAGATGATTGCAAATCACCTGTTATTAAGAAGCTTAGGAGAAGAAATGAAGAACTTTATAAAAGTTAAAAAACATGAACTTTAAAACAATAATGTAAATGTACAAAATTTTTTAATAAATATATTTTTTAAAAATAGTTGTTTATATATAATCAGTAACATTCAGTCTATTTAGGTTGCTATCCCTTTGTTTATCCAGTGCTTCTGTAACTATTTTCTAACTGACATTCAATTTCTTCAGATCTCCATTCCATTGCTCTTCAGTCTTCCCCTTGACTGATTTGCTTTTACCATGCACATATTTCCCAATCACTTGTTTCTGTACATTTTGCCTCACACCCGATATATAGTTTACTTTATTCTAACCTTCACTCGCTCTTATTCTCGTTGGTAACTTTTGTACCTATGGTATTCTCAGCATCCGTCTATACATACATCTCAAGGCACCTATTCTTATTTTATTGTTTCTATTTCTTTCTCAACGTTGACACTTATTTTTTCCCGTTCAGGGGTTTTCAATGTTAGATGTCTATAACTTTCAAAAATCTTTTTAGCCTAAAATCCATTATAACTGGTTATGATCACTATGAATGTCATCTTCAGCGTATGTTTTAGTAGATTTTATGTACTTAAAGTTGTTATCGAGCAAAATAAAGTCAATTTGATTCCTAACAATTTTATCTTCCCGTTTGCAAGTGATTTTCAAGTGTATAGCCTTCTAGGATATTATTTAACGAAGGTTGGCTATTAAAAGTTTGCTCTCTACGCAGAATTTTACAATTCTCTTCTATTGTTTCTAATATTGAGACTGTATGCTCCTATGTTGTCTCCTTCAACACCACGACCAATTTTGGCGTTAAAGTAGCCCATGATTTTGTCAGTCGCATTATTTTATTTGTTGTTATAAAATTTCTCGATTTCTTGCTGTGACTGGGCAATTTTGATGGAGCATAGCCTGAATAATAGTTAGATTTCCATGGGTTGTTCGTAATTTTAATATTGCTACTCTATCATTGTTCTTTTTATATAAATATGACTCTGTCTGTTTTTCAATGTGCCTCCAGTAAGTTATCGTTTTCGTGATCTTCCTACTGATCGTCTCAATTTTTCTAAGTGTTTTCATCTCTGCTGTTTCTAACATCCTTTTTGTCCTCTCTGTGCCAGGTCTTGTTCCTGCCGCGTATGTCATTATTCGTCTAATGACTGTTTTGTAAATTCTGCCTTTCATTTCTTTCCCGATATTTTTATTTCCCCATATTGTTTCAGTCAGGCAGCTCTATTTGCTTTATTCACTTGATCTTCCACTTCAGTTTCGAGCCTTTCGTAACTTGATAATGTGACGCCTAGATATTTAAACTTTATCACTTGTTCTATTATCTGACATTCTTGACTGCATCGTTCCAGTCTTTTGGAATCATACCCGCATGTAAGCATTTATTAAACAGTTCTCTTACTGATTTTAATAGAATTTCTCCTCCTGCTTTTATTGCCTCAATAACGATCCATCATCGTCCATCATCACCAGACGATCGATGGTTCTTCATTTTCTTTAAAGCCACTTTTCCTTCTGACACAGTAATGGGTAAAAGTATTTCCGATCCCTGATTTATGAGAGTCTTTACTCGTGTCGGGAAATTGTCTTGCGGTCTTTTGCTGGTATAGAGGTTTTTATAAAACTCTATGGTTATTTTCATAATGTTTTGTTTATCTGTTGTTGCCTTTCCGTCTTTATCTCTCGGCTTGTATATTTCTTTTTTATTTTCTATTAATTTTTGTTTTCATTTTCTTTAAACCTTTATTCTCTTCTACTGTTTAAGTAATTACATTAGTATTATATCTTCTTACATCTTTTCTAATTCCCGCTGAAATTCTTTTATTTAGTTTTTTATATTATTCTTTGTTTCCCTTTTCGTTCTCGCTTAGGTTTCGTCGTATTTCCATGACAGCTTTTGTATCTTTGCTATTTTTTTTTACTTTTGATGTCATTTTTCTTGCAAAATTTGAGTTGTGCGTTTCTAAACGAGTCTGTTATTAATTTATTGTGATCGTCGATACTTAAAGGTTTGGGATTATTACTCTGTAAAGTTTCGACTATATTTTTTATGTATACTTCTGGCTAATTTGGTGAATTCCAAACTATGCATTTGCAACTGTTTATCATCTTTGTTTTTTTTTTTTGTAGGTTTATCGTTACTCTAGCTCTTACTGGTCTGTGGTCGCTTCCTACTGACAGTGTATTGAGTACAGTGACATCTTGAATAATTTGCTTTTTGTCTGTTATTCTATAATCATATTCGCTCTTAGTTCTTTCGTCTGGACTAGCCCAAGTCCATTTTCTATTCTTTTTTTTCTTAAAAAAAGTGTTCATTGCATACAGTTTGTGTTGCAGTAGAAAGTTGATAAGTATTTCGCCTCTTTCGTTTCTTACTCCGATTCCAAAATCTCCGATTGTCACTTCTAGTTCGTCCTTTTTCCTTCCGAGTTTCCCGTTAAAATCTCCCATTATCAGATTGTAATGAGCCGGTACCTGCTTTTTTGCTCTTTCGATTTCCTCATGGGCTTCAACAATTTCATCTTCGTAATCAAGTCAATGCTCTGTATATTTTCTGTAATTTTTTGTATACTAATAAACCTATTCCTCTAGTTGTAGATTCTGTTTCCCCTTTATAGTGGAATATGTTGCCTGATTTTAGTTTGACCTGATATTCACCTCTTCTTTTGACTTCGCTAATTCCTATAATATCCCATTTCACATGTTTGAGTTCTTCCTCCAGTTCCGTCATTTTTTCATCCTTAGATAAGGTTCTTACATTATATGTAATTATGTGCAGCGTTCGTCGTTCTTGGTAGCCTCCTACAACCCGGGGATTCTTCGCACCCTCTGCCCGCTGTCCGTGAGCCCTACTGCTACCTTGGTTGGGAACTAGCGAGCTGCCGGGGACTGAGTCACCGAACAACTGAGTGCCGTTTTCTTGAATGTCTGTTCATGTTGAGGGGGTTTTGGCATTTAAACACCACGCTTGCCAGGAGGGCTGGTGAGTTGGTTTGGGAAATTGGTAAGATAGTAGGTATTGGGTAGGAATGGGATTAGGACATGATTTCTCTCCGCAGGAGTTGAGAGAGAATCAAGGATTCTAGGATTCCACTGAGATTGTGGAAGAGTATCTACCCGCTACACCGGCTATAAAGTATAATCTAATTTTAATAATGATTTATAGGTATATTTACAAAACCTACCTATTCGATTTTTAATTAGTTAATAATTACTGTTTACAATTGTAATTTTGTGTGTATACCAGTAGTAGGTATTTGAACTGTCATTTAACTAGTTTAAAATTTATATTATTTGATTTAGCTTATTTTGAATTTTATGTGTGAGTTTAAGGAAATATTAAAACTCGAGAAGCACTGAAATTCTAACTATATGTATGTTGCCTATATTTGGCGCAGCTCGAGAATATAAACTGTAAATTGGCCAGACAGAATAGTTGAGAATAGAATCAAATAGAATACTCGGTAGAGGTAGAGATTAGGCTCCGAAACTATTTTCTTATCTTGTATTTTAAAAGCAGTAAATTCATATATATGTAACCAGAATGATTTAATTTAAATGTTCTGGCTATTAAAACAAAAAATAAAAAGAAAAAAATTCTTTTTACCTTCTGAAAATGGACTCACATTTGCAAACAATGTATCATTTGTTATTAAAAAATTCTAAATAACACAACTAAAAATAGCGTGCTTTGCATCGAGCAAAAGTGCTTTGTAATTTCCATTAGATAACGTTTCTTTAATGTTTTTACTTAACGGCACTCTTAGCAGTATACACTACAATTAGACACCTGACATAAATTTTTAACCTGTTCTGCGAGTTATTGACAAAGTCAAGGACATACATTTTTTATAATAAAAATAATTGAAAAAGGAAAGGAAGTAAGGAAGGTACACATATTGGCTGAAGTTCATAAGCATATCTTATCCATCGTTATCATATCTTACATATAAATATTTATTGCGCGTAACGGACCAGTCATAGACGTTGAAATATACTTTTAGTGTGGTTAAATTAATCTACAAGATAACTGTCCACTTCCCATTTTAATTCAGAAATACAAAGATCTTTCGATATATCTACAAATTATTTAAAATGTCTACAAAGCATTTAACAGTTGGTAAGTAATATCGAATTAAAGCAACTATACGTAACGAAATACACGAAACTATATGAAATATTTGATTTTTAGGTTCTGTAGAGCCTCCAAGAACTGAGGGCCTTCTCAGGCTCTATACCATGAAATTCTGTCCTTTTGCCCAAAGAGCTGCATTAGTTCTGAAAGCGAAAAACATTCCACATGATGTTGTATATATTAATTTATTCAAAAAACCAGAGTGGTACAGCAAAATCAATGAAAAAAGTAAGTTTGGACAGTAATCAATAATTAGTATGTAATATTAAATAAGTGTGGTTTTTTACCTATGATGTTTCTTGATGCATATCACAAACCATATTATCCTTTTTCCAGTCACCTTAATTTTTTTCTAGAGGATTTATGGCTCACATTGATTTATAAATTACTTACAATTAATACAATACGATATAATATAATATAAGTTAGTAATACTATATTTTTACACCACACTTGTTTTTTATTTTTTATTCACTGTCTTTTTTATAGTATCGATACATTTTTGGCAAAGTAACGTAAGTGACATTTTTGGCGAAAATCATGTTTTTCAATAAAACTAACACTATTATTGTTAAAAAGGTACTGCCAAAGTGTAGTAAGCGTATAATTACTTTAAACCCTTTTTAGGACAAGACGGACAAGTTTTTTTCAGTCATAATTTAAATAATTTTAACCAGGTTGAATTACAAAATTGTTTTTTCTACAAATCGTGTTTGGTGACTTACGTTACTTTGCCAAAAATGTATCGGTATGTTCTAAAAATGATATCTCCTATAGGCTTTTTTAAATAATCTATTTCTACTGGTTTCGATTTTTGTTTTATTTTTTTTTGGGAATATTTAAATGTATGTAACTTGTTATAGGTTTTATTATAAATTTGTTTTGTTTTAATATTTTTTATCCAAAAAGTAAGTTTAATTTTCTGAACATTTGTTTTTCTGTAGCATTAGTACCATCCATTCTTGATGGTGATAAAATTGTGGTAGAAAGCCTGGATATTGCTGATTATCTAGATGAAAAGTACCCTGAAAATCCACTCTATCCTGCAGATCCTGCAGCCAAGCAGAAGATTAAGGATATTATAAACAAGGCAGGTGCTGCACAGGGAGTATTTATAAACCTCTTATTAGGAAAAGAAGAAAATTCAGCAGAAGAATGGGCTAAATTGTTCATTGAAGCTCTTCAACCTTTGGAAGAAGAACTTTCACAGAGGGAACACCTTTCTTTGGTGGAGATAAACCTGGAATGGTAAGTTTGGATAATTTAATCATAGCTACTGCTTTTACTCTTTCCATAAATTTAGCTGATTTGGTGTTTTTTTATAGGCAGATTACATGATTTGGCCATGGGCAGAGAGAGCAGGATGCATAGGAATTAAATTGCAACAGAGGCTTCCATTGAAAGACTCAGACATCCCACTTTTAAGGAAATGGAGAAAAGATATGATGAATGAACCAGCCTGCAAGGAGTTATATATAAGTGGTGAGAGGTTTTGGAAGGTTACAAAAGCAAAATTGGCTGGAGAGGAACCAGCTTATGATGAAATATAAAATCGATACTTAAATCACTAGAAACCATATTAATTACATGCAGTATTTGTCAGATGAAATGATAGAATATACTGTTACTCTGATGTTTTATACAATATGCTTCCCAAATTCACTTATTGTTGCCTACACCCTGTACTAAACCTGAAGACAATAAATATTACAGCTTTTTAATGTGTTTTGTGTTTTTAATCATAATCATGGCTTATTATTTTTATTCTCCATTTCATTATTATTGACATTATCCAAAATATAAAATGATGACATGGTTATGCCACTCTTTGTTGTTACTCTATATTTAGATATCCAACCAATTGTTATGGATGGGTATTGAAGAAACCAAAAAGAAATGCATTTCATTGTCACTCTTGCTTAATCCAATATTCTATTCAGTAATTCACATCATTAAGAAATATGCATATTTCGAAATATGCATATATTTTAAAATATATATTCGTCGTTTTTAACAATAAATAATGATTTTAATTTAAGGAGAATACAAATACTTGAAAATATAGGTTTTTAAGTAGTAAATGACGCCAGATTCGTTTCTTAATTTGTATTAATAAAGCCTCTTTGATTAAAAAAAAATATGCTAACTTGGCTCCTATTGGTTGTAGAAAACTCTTTTTTTTAATCTAGCCAGCTACAATAATCTGCAAATTAGAAATTTGTAGGGTACATAGGGGGCTTTGCAACTCTAAATGTTTATAACTGCAATTTTACAACTACATAAATAATTGTTTTTAACGGGTTAAAAATTTTTTTTCATTATTTTCCAGTGGATTATGAAAATTTACGGTTTTGGGAAGAAAATGAAACAAGAATTAGCCCTCTACCATTTTTTTCCTATGAGCTTTCAAAGTTGAAGGTCGTGGGATAAACTAATTTACGTATCTCAGCAACAAATTAAGTGATCTACGGCTCATTCAATTTGTAATTTTGTAGGCTTGAATGTCATAAATTTGAAATAAATAAAAAGGCAATTTTGCAATAAATATTGCTTCTCCATTGTGTCTCCTTGTCTTACTCCTCGCTTGATTTTTACTGGTCTTGTTTAGATTCAATTACCCAATGTCACTACCATTTTAGCTTGTTTGTAAATATTATGTATTAGTATTCTGTACCTGAAGTCGATCTGGTTGTTGACTAATGCTTCTTCTATTGCCCACAGTTCTACGCTATCAAAAGCTTTTTCATAATCTATAAAAGCCAGACATAAAGGAAAATTGTATTTGTTAGTTTTTCTATTAGGATTTTTAAAGTGTATAGATGGTCACAGGTGCTGTACCCTTTTCTAAATCCGGCTTGTTCTACTGGTTGATATCCATCAAATTTAATTGTTAACCTATTTGTAATAATCTTTGTAAAGTTGTGAAAGAAGTGAAATTGGTCGATAATTTTTCAGGTATGTGGTGTCTCCCTTTTTGTGTATTAGTATTGTTTTAGCAGTATTTTATTGTTCGGGTATGTTGCCTTTGAATAGACATTTATTAAATAATATATTTAGATATGTGATGGCTTCTTCTCCGCTTCCTTCAGCATTTCTGCTAGAATTCCATTCTAGAAATAAAGCTCCCTTCCGGATTTCGGAACAGTATTTCTTTTACTGTTCTTTCTATTTCTTCGTGGCTTATTTCGAGCATCACTTCTGAGTTGACATTTATTATCTGCCTTTCAAGTTCTGCTTTGAGGAGTTAGGGGGATCGTTTCTGGAACGGCGTAGAACTTTTCAATTGAGTTTGCAATATCAGATTTACTTTTGTATAGTTGTCCTTGTTCATTTTAATAGTTATTATGTTTTTCTTTCCTAGTTTCGGTTTGGTGCATTTGAGACTTTGGTTTTTCTCTATGATTTGTTATATACGGTCTTCTTGATGTTTTTTAATGTCCTCTTTTACCTGTTTTCTTATTACTCGATAATCATCATCATTTTGGCTTTACAACCCTGTGTGGGTCCTAGCCTCCCCAAGAATTCTTTTCCAGTCGTTCCTATCCATCGCCTTCCTCCGCCAAGCACGTATTTCCATATTTCTCATATCTTGGTCTATGTTATCTAGGAATCTTGTTCTGGGTCTTCCTCTTCTTCTTTGACCAATGAGTCTATCAAGGAGCGTTTTTTCTAGATGGGTCGGTTTGGTCCATCCGCATTACATGGCCTACCCACCTCAGACGTCCTATCTTAATGTGTTTTACGATATCTGGTTCCTGGTATATTCTATAGAGTTCGAAGTTGTATCGTCTTCTCCAGACACCATTTTCATTTACCGCTCTATAGATTCGCCTCAGTATTTTTCTTTCGAAACATCCTAACATGTTTTCATTGCTTTTTGTTAAAGTCCAGGTTTCTGAACCATATGTTAAAACTGGGCGTATAATTGTTTTGTAGAGTTTCACTTTTGTATTTCTTGATATAGCTGTAGATTTAAAAAGGAGATTAAGCCCAAAATAGCATCTATTAGGCGTGCAAATTCTGCGGTTTATCTCTGCGGTAATATTTCAGTATTGACGAGCGTTCCCAGGTATACAAATTCGTTAACTGCTTCGATGACGTCGTTTTCTATAACAAGTGGCCGTCGTATTTGTTTGCGGACCTATTTTCATGTATTTCGTTTTATTAATGTTTATTATTAAACCCATTTTTGTAGCCGCGTCCTTTAGTGCTACATACGCCTCTCGTGCTGCGTTTTCCGTTCTCCCAACAATAGCATATGCTAGGATTTGCACAGATTTGTTATATATTGAACCGGTAGTTGTGATTTGTGACGTACATATTACTTTTTCCAGAGCTAGATTGAATAGTATACAGGAGAGTGGGTCTCCCTGACGTAGCCCGTTATTTGTATTAAAAGGTTCAGAGAGTTCCCCCTGGATTCGTACTCTGCATTCAACTTTTTCAAGGGTTAATTTGGTTAGACTTACCAACTGATTTGGTACTCTCAGGTCTATCATTGCTCTAAACAATTCTCTTCTATTTACAGAGTCGTAGGCTGCCTTGTAGTCTATAAATATGTGGTGCGTGTCTACACGTGATATCAATATTAAGTTACGAATACGAATGCTGCGGTGTTATGTCTTTTCTACCCTGTTATATGGAGTTGAGGCTTGGACACTAAAACAGTTGACCATAAAAAACATCGAAGCTTTCGAGATGTGGTGCTATAGGCGGATTCTCAGAATATCATGGATGGACCGCGTCACTAACACGCAAGTACTCCAAACTTTAGACAAAAGATGCGAAATTCTAAATGAGATAAAAACTAGAAAGATAGAATACTTGGGGCACATTGTGAGAGGTGAAAAGTACGAACTTTTAAGAAACATCATGCAGGGCAAAAGAAGTGTGGGAAGAAGAAAAATATCGTGGCTTCGTAATCTACGTGAATGGTTCGGGTGTAGTTCGATTGAACTTTTCAGGCGCGCTGCTAACAAAGTCGCAGTGGCCATGATGATTTCCAATCTCCGCTAGGAGTGGCACGAGAAGAAGAAGCGTGTCTACACCGTATTCCAGTGTTTTCTCTAGAATTTGTCTCAGGGTTGAAATCTGATGAATTTTTGATTTACCACCTCTGAAACCAGCCTGGTATTGTCCTATTATTTGCTTTGCATTTTGCATTGCATACGGTGCCATACGATGGCATAGTATATTGGAGAATATTTTATACGCTGCATTTAGGAGCGTAATTCCTCGATAGTTAGAGCATTCAAAGATATCTCCCTTTTTGTGTATGGTGCAAAGTATTCCAATCACTCTGGAGGGACTTCTGTATCCATATTTCTTTTATAAGCTGCTGTAGCGCTATTATGATGTTGTGGCCACCTTCTTTATGTAATTCCGCTGGAAGATTATCTATTCCGGGTGATTTGTTTCTGGCTAGTTTGCTTACTGCGTCTTTAACTTCCAGGATCGCTGGTGGATTCTCCTCCCTCTCGTCTGCTCCGCTTATCTCACAGTTTTCGTCTTCCGGGTTTTCTTCTTCCTCTATATTAAGTATCTGGTTAAAATATTCCATCCATCGATTTAGTACGTCTGTTCTTGTTGTTAATAGATCGCCATTCAAACTTCTACATTGATTTGTGTTTGCCTTGAATTCTTTTCTGTTGGTGTCAACTTTCTTATAGAATGTTCTGAATTCTTTCTCTCTGTTGAGGTTTTCTATATATTGAAGTTCCTTTTTTAAGTGGTTTCGTTTCTTCATTCTGTGTATTTTCTTTTCTTCTCTTTGTCTGGTAATTGTCTACACTTGTTCTAGTCCGGAGGGTAAGCATTTTTGCATAAGCTTCATTTTTTTTCGTGTTGCGTTTTTGCATTCATCGTCAAACCAGTAATTTTTTCGGGTACAAGTTTCTGTTCCTATTTCATCTTGTGCTGCTGACTCAATATCTTCCTTTATCGTGTTCCAGTAGGAGTCTATATCTCTCTGGTCTTCTTCGCTTGGAGTTTGATTTCTTAACCTATTGGTAATATTTTCCCAGTACTGTTTTGCAGCAGTTGCATCTCTCAGCTTCGGTACATTCCATTTCTTTGTATCTATTTTTTTTTCTTTGTTAGAATTTGAAATTCTAGCCCTTAGTGTTGAGATCACTAAACAGTGGTCTGAGTTATACTTGATAAAGTTCCTTAAATTCTGCAGTGTCTCTTTTGTTTTGTCTCAGAAGATGTTTTCTTTCTTTTCAATGACTTCATTGATTTCATTTAAGCTAAGTTTATCTAGATTTAATACTTTCGCGGGATTTCACTTGCTTTTATTTTGTTCTGTATTAGATTTTAGTTTATCTGTGTCTAGATTCCAAGTTTTTCTAAATATATTTCTATTTTTATCATGTTTTATCTCTAATTTGGCTCTAACCATTCGGTGATCGCTACTTACTGACGCCGTATTTATTACTGTTGCGTCCTGTATGATATCTGCTATGTTAAACAGTATGTAATCTATTTCGTTCCGAGTTTTTCCGTCTGGGGATAGCCCCGTCTACTTTCTTTAAGGTTTTTCTTATATAATGTGTTCATTGCATAGTATTTGTGGACTTGTAGGAAGTTAACCAAGGTTTCTCCTCTCTCGTTTCTAACTCCAGAGCCGAATTGTCCTGTATAGTTTTCGGTTTTTTCAAGTCGTTGTCCGATCTTAGCGTTGAAGTCTCCAATTATCGTCGTATACGTGCTGTGATAAT